TCCGGAGCTGCGGGCAGGGCAGGGCCGGGCCCCGCGGCCGCGCTCACCTCGCCCTCGCCCGGCCTGACGCGCCCACGCCGCCGCCTGGTCGTCGCGCTCGCGGCCCGCGGGCAGAGCCGGCGAGGCTGGTCGGGTCCGCCGCGGTGCTCCCGTCCCGGCCCGCTGCCCTCGCCGCCCGCGCCCGCCGCCGCCGCCGTCCGCCCCTCAGACGCCTCCAGCCATCGGGATGGGCGCGGCGGCCCCTGCCCGCATCCTCGGGAAACCCCACGCCGCGTCACCGCGCACGGCGGGCATGCGCACGCCCGCGCTTCCTCCCGCCCGCACGTGCACGAGCGGCTTAAAGGGGCAGCGTCCTGCCCGCGACGGCCGTAGGCCCCGAACGGGAACCTCCCGGGAAAACCACTCCCGCGACGCCGGCAGCCGCGGGCCCTAGGCCTGCTGGACCCTGGGAGGTAGCTCGGTTCCTGTGCGGAGCCGCCTGGGCCGGCGGACGGTGATCCTGTGGGGAGGCCGGCGGATGGGCGCCAGGTCCCACCTCCGAGGCTGGGCGCGGGGACGCGGCCAGGAGGGTCGGAAGGCGCCTGGAGCCCAGGCCAAGGAAGGGGTGGACGGTGCGCGGGGGAGCGGGAACGCGAAACCCAGGGGCGCAGGAAGGCGGTCAGGAAGGGCTGGTGGCCTCTGAAACCTCCGGGACCATGGGTCACCCTCGGGCCCATCCGCCTTTCCTGCCGCCTTCCGACCCCCCTTCCCAACCCCTCACCTCCTCCACCTCACCTGATTCTTCACTCCCACCTTACCGCGCCCGTCAGACCCCGTGCTGTCCTTTCCAAACAAAGCCCAGGGCCCTTTTTCCTCTAGGCCCCATCCACTGGCCTTCCAGAATCCAGCGCCATAGCCCCCAGGTGGCCCATCACCCACCGTCCTCTCTGCACCCTTAGGCACCTTTCTTTGCCTCCCCGCAGTTGGGCTGCCCTTCTTGTTTTGTGTAACTGGAAGAAATAAATGCAGCTTCCAGAGCGTCCACAACCTTCTCTCCATCCTACTCCCTGCTCCTCCTACAGAAGAGGCCTTCTCTTCCCCTCTCCCCTGGGTGCTTCGTGTCGATACACAGACACCCAGGAGTCCCTCCTTGCTTTTGACACAAGACACTCCAGGTTCCTTTTGTACTTTCCCTGCCCCAACCCTGAACTAGGTCAGTTCCCCAGCAGCCCTGGTTGAGCTAGTGGCAGGAGTCGCGAGAGGCCAGGATCCAGGTGCTGCCTGAGTGCTCACTGCCACTGGGGTATCCCTGACCAGGAGTCAGCTGGTGGGAGCAGACATGTCCACGTGCACACACCTATATGTGCACACAGCCACATGGATATCCTCAGGTGTCTTCCTAAGAGTGATGGAGCATGGAGCACATTCAGTGCCAGGGGACAATGGAAAGGCAGAGGGGCAGGGGTTTGGGGCATTGGCAGGTGGGTCCCAGACTCTGAGGGTCAGAGGCTGTCTTCAGATCCAACAGGGCTGGTGCCACCCATTAATTCCCGCCTCAGTCAAGGATTTAAAGTAGAAATGAGAAGAGCGGGTGAGTTAGAGGGGACACAGAGGCAGCAGCAAGGCTTCCCCAGGTGAGTGAGGGGACAGTCATTTCTACAGAGACCTCTGCTGCTGTGGGACCTTCAGGCCCAGACCCTGCCCTCCTGGTCTCTGCATGCCTGGCCCAGGGCCTTGGTCGGGGAGGTCAGACTGGGCAGCACAGGCACTGTCAAGGCTGGGCCTTGAGGCCATCCATGCAGTTGGGCCCAGAACCATGGGGAAAAGCCACACGTGAAGTCACCAGCCCAGTGCCTGCCCCAGCCTTCCACCTTGGAGGTGCAGCCCCAGGGATTGCATGTCATCTGAAGGCATTTGGGGTGATGTGGGACCTTCTCTGAGACTTACCCTACAACCCTGACAGAAATCCTCATTTATGTGTTTATGGATGGGGTGTGAGGGGCAAAGTTGAGCCAGGGAGGAGGCTGCCACCTGACTCTGTTGCCTTCGGATGTGCACAGTCAGGCCTCTGGCCCTGGGGACAAGTGCCTTAGACCTTGGCCAAACCCACCGGGAACCCTCAGGAGCTTCCAGACTCCAGCCAGGGCCCCTCCCTGCAGATGATAAGGAGCCAGCCTTCCCCTTTGTACCTTAGAAGGTCCAAAGGGCCCAGCCTCTGTCCTCCCTGACCCACCATCCACCTCTTTCATCCCAGGCCTTTGTAATTTTTGGTTCACATCTGCCACCCAGCCCCCTCCACAGTGGGGCAAAAATCCTTCAACCAGGAGCCCAAGGCTTCTCCTGATCCCTTCCCGCGACACTACCTTCTCCACAAGGATCATAGACATCTCCTGCCAAGGGCCAGGCCAGCGGTCAGCTGCAGAGCTGAGCAGGGCCCCAGGGTGGAGGCACTGCCCAGGATCTGGCTTGGTGCCCAGCCTTCTCTCAAAACCCAGGGAGCTTGGATGTATAACTCGGATGCCCCTCCCCCGTCTGCTCTTCAGCAGGAAATGGTCTAACGGGAAAGTAGGTCTTTTTAAATCTGAATTATTCAAACAATCTGTGCACGTGACTGGGACCCAAAGCAAGGCCTGGACGCACCCAGGTGCCTCTCTCCAGCCAGGCTTTGAAGGCTCTTTCTCACAGCTGCAGAGTGACTCTCCATATCTGGATACAGTACGAGGGCAGGAGTGGAGAGGCCACTGCCCCTTTGTCCTGCTGGGTATCTGTCCCTGTCTTGCTCAACACTCTGGTCCACCATGCGGACCTCCACATTGCCTCCAGGAGGTGAGATGGAGCCTGGCCCTGCCTCCACACTGCAAAGGACAGGGAGGAACATGTGATACCCAGGGGATGCAGAATGTAGGTGACCAAGAGGAAAGCTTTAATTAGATCCTGCAGGCGACCTAAGGCAGGGTCTGGTGAAGGAAGAGGGCCACACTCCGGGGGAGACCACACTCCTCCCTAACCCTTGGCACTCTGCCCAAGTGCACTAGGAATGGGCAGGCCCAAGGCCCTTACCTCAAGAGTCCTGTCCAGCCACACAGCTGTCAGCTTGCTGGAAGGGATGAGGAGGAACATGGGGAGAGCTGGGTGGGCAGCTCTATGTGGACTGGTTAGTGAGACAGTAAGGGTGTAGACTGGAGAGACCTGGTGGTGAGTGGCCTGCAGACCAGGGGAGGATGGTGACCAGATGGGAGTGCCTGGCGAGGTCACAGGTGTGCCTTCAGGAGGATGCTATGCCGCAGAGCTAGGGCGGGGCCTCATTGCCTCCTGAGCCTCAGGGAGGAGGCCAGTGCTGCCTGTGGCCCCCAGCAGACCTTGAAGGACCCCCGAAGTCCTCCCCACAAGTACAGGGAGCCAGCGTCTGTCCCCAGCCTCCCATCCCACTGGCTCTGACCCTCCTGGTCTCCCACCTCAGTCATAGACCAGACATCCCTGTGCAAGGGCACCAAAACATGGAAGACAGCAGGAAACCGTGCAGTGCCAGGTGGGGCAGAGGGCATGTTTCTCCCTCCCCCAGAGTTGGACCAGAAGCCTAGGGAAAGTCCAGGCAGCTCCTTGGGGCTGACGGTGTTGCCCAGCCGAGCCGAGACTAGGACTCAGGTGTGCAGCTCGGACCTGGCCAGAGGGGGCTGCCTCTAGGAGCCAGGCGAGAGGATCTGCTCTCCTCTCTGGGCTTCCTGTAGTGGGCATGCCCCCTGGAACTGCATGTGGGGAGATACCCGAGTCCTGACTCCACCCAGTGTCACCCTCATTCCTGGTGTAAAACACGAAACTCTCTAATGGAGAAAGAGGTATCCATGAGCAGGCAAAGCAGAATCCCTGCATGAAACACAGGAGTCAGGTAGCAAGTGGTAGAAGCTTAAACCAGCTCGTGTGGAAGTGGGAAATTGAGTGGCAGATATCTGGGCGTCCGGTACAGCTGGATCCAGGCCCTTAGTGAGGAGTCAGGGTTCTGTGGCCCACCCTGTTTCTGCTTTCCTGGGTGGTAGCGCCTTCTCTCTGCTTGGCAAGGAAATGGCTGCCAGCCTCAGGTACCCTCACCCCTGGAAGAGCACCACAGAAGACTCTCAGATGTCTGTATGTTAACCCCATAAGGACTCCAGACAGCTCCCTCAGGTTCCTGTGGCCCTGGTGGCAGGGAAGGGAGGGGCCGTAACTAAGGGCTCTGTCGGGTCAATGTGGAACACCCAGCACAAAGGCAGGAGGTGGGAGGTTGCTGGATGGCGGGAGAAGCAGCCCAGGTGGTCCCTGCCTGCCTGGTGGCTAAACCTGGGTTTGGCTCCAGCTGAAATGCTTCGCTGGTTGTTGGGTTTATAGCTGAGGTTAGTTTGACTGACTAACACCTGCGGCTCTGACTGCCCTCTCTCGGAGCCCTGGGCCTGACTGCAGGGGTGAGGCATGACCTTGACAAGGTCAGCCAAGGCATCTCCGAGACACTGGCTTCTCAAAGTGTCCACCTAGCTGCAGAGACAAGGGACAGCTGGGAGAACACAGCCCAGGGCCTCTCCTCCTCACTGAGGCCAGGAACCCCCTGGCCTGAGGGGATACTGGGGTGAAGCCCTGGGGTGCAGCAGGCCCAAGTCTTCCCTCCCCAGACATCCTCGGGAGCATCTTCTGGGGTAGGGGTACTATGGTCCCAAACACAGATAAAAGGGCAGGGTGGCCACAGCAGGCATCAGGGACACAACTGGACAGGGATGCAGGGACATACACCTCTGCCCACAGGAGGAAGCCAGGTGGGTGGGCATCGGGGTGTGTAAAAGGGACGGCCCAGAGGTAGCCACCTAGCTAGGCCTTGGGGCTCTGAGCCCTTGGGACAATTTCTGGGCCCCCAACCTCCTCCTCCCCTACCTCCTGTCACCCGCAGACTCTGGTGTGCTCAGAGAGGGGCCCCTGGGGCAGGTGAGCGGGGACATACACACCCTGGGTGGGCCAGTGCAGGGGACCCGGGCTTCCTACCCACACCCCAGAGCCCTAAGCCTGGAGCAGGTCACACAGTGACTCCAGGAGCCGGGACAAAGGCAGGCATGGTCTCGAGGTTCAGAACGGCGCCCAGGAGCTGGCGGGCCTGCTGTAGCCTCGGCTCTGTCGGCCTCCCTGCCAGCGCCTTCTTCAGGAA